GATTCTTCTCTCTCTCGCAAAAAAAAAAAAATAAAAAATAAAAAAAAAGAAAAAAGAAAATACTCAAAGGCTAGTATCATCAGGATTATGATTTTAAAAAATTAAAGGGACAAACTCCTATATGAGCAGAACTAGAAATAAGGGGTGGCAGTAAACAGAGATTCAGCTCAAAGACAGTCAATGGTGCTGAGGGGTAGGATAGGGACGCCACTCAGAGACATGGGGATTTAAGATTTAAGTAACTGAACTGGTTGCCCCAGAATCTTAGCTTTTTAGAAATCTTAGAAAAAGCAATTGACCCAGAGTCAGCAACAGGGGAGAAGTCTGATCTTGCCTCACTCCAGGTGTGGCACCTGGTGAGTCACTTCGGTTCTGTAAGTTTCAGCTTTCTCATCAGTCGAATGAAGCCAATAATCCCTACCTCCCAGGGCAGTGATGGCGAACCTATGACATGCGTGTCAGAGGTGACACGCGAACTCATTTTTTTGGTTGACTTTTGTTAAATGGCATTTAAATACATAAAATAAATATCAAAAATATGAGTCTTTGTTTTACTATGGTTGCAAATATCAAAAAATTTCTATATGTGACACGGCACCAGAGTTAAGTTAGGGTTTTTCAAAATGCTGACACGCCGAGCTCAAAAGGTTCGCCATCATTGCACTATAATATTAATCTTATATATTAAAAATAGATAAAAGATTACTGCATACCTGTGGATTTTCCAAACGTTTTAAATACTCTTCAAATGATCCTTCTATAAACTGAAAAAGGAAAAAAAGTCTATTAGGAATACATCAAAACAACAGTTAAACTCTCTACTGTGAATTACTGAGTTTTTACATACATAGATTATATATACTCATATATAATCTATGAAAATACATACAAATCAGTAAGTGAAGATCATAAACACACAAAAAGAATGTAAAGAAGGAAACACTGTCAGAAAAGGTTTCCTGGACAGAATGTGGACAGACACAGGGACAATATGGCATGTGGAAACAGAGAGGACACTGTGTTGGGCAGACAGGAGTGGCATGGTCAGCAGGGACAGGGCACTTTCGTGGGGAGAGCAGAGTGAGAGAGAACTCAGACTAGACATCTGTTTATAGAAAGCTGTGAGCCCAGACAGGACTTTCAGAAGAGGGAGAAAAGGCAATACAAGGTCACTGCAAGTGACATTATGAACAGAGAAATGATAGGATAAAAGCAGCATTTTAAGATTAATTTGAAAATGGCCAATATATAGAGAATAAACAAAGACAGATACATTAGCTAAGACATATTAGTTTACTAATACAGATATGAATATTCACTGTTCCTTAGGTCAGTTATACTAAAAGCAGAGATGAGAATTAATAATGCTAAAGATATTTTGAAAAAAATAAATAAAATTTTTCTAATACACTTTGCTTCATTGTCACCTTAACATAAAAATAAAAGTTTATTGCCCTAACCGGTTTGGCTCAGCGGATAGAGAGTCAGCCTGCGGACTCAAGGGTCCCAGGTTCGATTCTGGTCAAGGGCATGTACCTTGGTTGCGGGCACATCCCCAGTGGGGGGCGTGCAAGAGGCAGCTGATCGATGTTTCTAATTCTCTATCCCTCTCCCCTCCTCTCTATAAAAAATCAAAATATATTTTTTTAAGAAAATAAATAAATAAAAGTTTATTCAAGCTATGTGAGCCCTGGCTGGTGTGGCTCAGTTTGGTTGGGCATCATCCCTTGCACCAAAAGATTGCAGGTTTAATTCCCAGTCAGGGCACATGTTTCTCTCTCTCTCTTTCTCCCTCCCTCTCTAAAAATCAGTAACGGCCGAAACCGGTTTGGCTCAGTGGATAGAGCGTGGCCTGCGGACTGAAAGGTCCCAGATTCGATTCCGGTCAAGGGCATGTACCTGGGTTGTGGGCACATCCCCAGTAGGAGATGTGCAGGAGGCAGCTGATCGATGTTTCTCTTTCATCGATGTTTCTACCTCTCTATCTCTCTCCCTTCTTCTCTGTAAAAAATCAATAAAATATATTTAAAAAAATAAAAAATATAAATCAGTAACGAATCTTAAAAAAAAAGAAAAAGAAAAAGCTGTGGTAACATTTTTTGTTTTTCTAACAGCGATTATACTAATTTAATCGCGAAAGCCCTAAAACACCATCTGAAACATCAAATTCAATTTTATTTAAATTACAGGCCCAGTCAATTTTGCAAAGCAATACACTTAAAAACATTAAAGTACACTACCAAGTCTATAAAAATCTTTTAAATGCCCATGGATTTTTTAAGACTGAGATTATTTTATAGACAGTATATTATCAAATTTCCAAAAAGTATCTTAAGATTTCAACACACATTACAATAAAATAGCTATCTATTTTAAATACCCCACCAATCAGAGGCTACTGTTCTATATTAGGTGATTATTTATAGACTTAAAAATCCCACAGAACCATTTGAAGTTGGAAGAGACCCAAGCAGTGTTCTGCAAGCCTATATCCAATATAAGACTCTCCTTTCTAATCAGAAAGCATCCACCTAGACTTTGACTGAACATCCTCAGTCACAAGGAACAATAAATACTCCACCCCCTTCCCATGACAGCCTTTTCCCATTTTGGCCAACAGAAATGGTAAAGTGAAATTTACCCCTTTAGAACTTTCAACTTCTGGTAACCTCAAAAGATTGCAAGGGTTAAATAAATATATGCAAAGCATATTAAGTGCTCAACCAGTGTTAGTAATTTCCATATTGTCAAGAGAGTTTTACCCTCTGGGGTCAATAATAATGACTAACTTCAAATACTTAAAGACCACTCCATTTACCTTTCTCTTCTCCACCACACCCTAATATTCTATCTAGCCTCACTACCAGTTTTCCTTCTGTAAGACAAGTTTTCATATCTCCTGATCAAGTAGGTAATTCTCTTTCCTGAAATGTATTATTGTCCATCTGATAAAATAGCACTCAGAAAAATGTTACCAGTAATAATATTTTGCTTGAATATAGGAAAACCAACCCAAGAGCATATCCAAACTAAGAACCATTTATCTATTAACTCTCAGATTTGAGTCATTTGCAAAACACCATCGTTCTTTTAGCAGTCCACAGGGGAGAATACCATTGAAAGTTGTCAGATGACTTAATTCTAAGCAAATCTTGTAAGGCTTTCAATGTAAAATGAAAATAGGTGACTGTCATATTTCACAGCCTACTACATACTACTGAGAAAATTCCAGTATTCTACAACATTCTATTAACTATTAATCATATTTACATAATTATAGTATTCTGATGATTCACAACGATGAAACCTGAAAATTAAAAATATATACATGCCTTCTGATAAAATAAAAGACTTAGTATGAATTTTTTTTTAATTCATAGGGGGTTACAAATCACTGAATACTCTACTAATCACAATGCTCCATTTACCCTGACTATGTCAGACAAAACTCACTCTTAATATGCCAGGATCCTGCCCAAGTCACCCTCTATCCTTCATAGCTGTGTGTTATCTGTCACAGAAGCTTTCTAAATGCCAGAATAATAAATGAATACCATTAAATGGCATAAAAACTATCACAAAAGAATATAATTGGATTTAAACTCAATAAAGCAATTCTTTTTTATAAGGGGGATTTTCATAACCCCCATTAAGATCCATCCTGTGAAATTCCCACTACACCACTTCTAAAGGGTGAACTGTAAATGCAAGTCGAGATACCATTTCGTTTAAAATTACAAATTACCGCTTCAAATTTCTCTCTGTTCTCTCGAAGATAGTGAATACAGGCCATTCTGACTTCAACATGTCGAGACTGAGAATGCAATACCTAAAAAGAAAAAGCAACACACTATTAAGCATTTTGTTAAAATAAGATTTAAGTTGCAACCTAGACATACCCAAAAAAACTCAACCAGCAAAACACACCATTTGTCTTTCTATAATTTCTAGACCTTTATTCATTCCCATTTCTCTCTCTAATCATAAGGATGGCATGACACATACAAACAGTAGTACAGTACTTCTTAAACCAGATGCCATTCTACAAAGAGTTTACTTCCATTTCTCCTTTAGATCACTGAAATACTGAAATCATTCCTTTAAGAAAATCTTTGTGAACTTAAGACACTTTCCTCTCTTGGTCAGCCCTCTACTGTAACTTTGCTCTTCACAAAGCAGAACTAACTAATCTGCGCGGTGCTTAGATTCATCCCATGCATTTTAAATTACTTGCCTTATGTAGAAACTTAAGTCCCCTGTGGTTTCAGAAAAATTAAGGTACTCATTCTTAAATCCTTACAGGACTCTTGAAAGAACATCCAAGTGAGCAGAACACAGGATGCAAACACACTGCTGTGCTGTCATCCCAATAGCCTTGAAACTTGCTCTGATGCCCAAAATATTTTTTAAATATATTTTTATTGATTTCAGAGAGGAAGGAAGAGAGAGAAATAGAAACATCAATGATGAGAAAGAATCATTGATTGGCTGCCTCCTGCATGCCCCCTGCTGGGGATGGAGCCACAATCTGGGCATGTGCCCTGAAGGGGAATCAAACCCTGACTCCCTAGTTCATGGGCCAATGCTAACCATTGAACAACACCGGCCAGGCTGCCCAAAATCTTAAAGCACCACCTGAAATAAGCCACACTACAAAGATGAACCAAATCCTTTCACTCTGTAGCCTGTGTTCTTCAATTAAGCTACTAATTCAACAAAAAGATAATTTACTGGCCTTTGGTCTCTTACTAAAATTCCAAAGCTTTGGTTTCAAACAAACTATTATCAAATAAACGCTTAGGAACCTTTTGGCTAGCCTCCAATACTTTAACTTCCACACTTAAGAGAAGATCAAAATTATTTTCTATTACTAGGTGTCTCAAAAGAAGGTATTGCTGGTACCCTATAGAACCAAGGTGGAGAAAAAAAAAAAACTGACATTTAAAATAACCACTTCTCAACTACTATGAAGGCCACTTGAAATTTTATTATAAAGTAACTTTAGGAGTTACAGCTCAGATAGGCTGGATAAGGGACTGATATCCAAAATACATAAGAAACTCATGAAACTCAATAATAAAAAAATAAACAATCCAATAAAAAATATGGGCAGAGGACATGAAAGAAGATTTTTCCAAAGAAGACATACAAATGGCCAACAGACATCAAAAGATGCTCATCACTAATCATCAGGGAAATACAAATCAAAACCACGACGACATACCACTTTATAATAGTCAAAATGGCTATTATCAAAAAGTCAACAAATAACATGTGTTGGTGAGGGTGTGGAGAAAAGAGAACTCTGGTGCACTGTTAGTAAGACTGCAAATTGGTGCAGTCACTATGGAAAACAGTATGGAGACTCCTCAAAAAATAAAACCAGAAGTACCATATAACCCAGAAATTACCCTTCTGGGTATTTATCCAAAGAAAACAAAAACACTAATTCAAAAAGATACTAGAGGCCCGGT